CAACAAACAGGCCATTCCAGCCTTTCAACAACAAACAGGCCATTCCAGCCTTCAACAACAAACAGGCCATTCCAGCCTTTCAACAACAAACAGGCCATTCCAGCCTTTCAACAAAAAAAAACAGGCCATTCCAGCCTTAGAACGAATAGGCTATCGCAGCCTAAGCCTCCCCTGACTCGATACGCTTCCGCTTGACACCACCCTGCTATTAATACCATTCCGGGGCCAAATCAGGACGTTCAGTCCAACACACCGGTCCATGTAGCCTCTCACACGTCTTACATGGGGGCTTACCAGCCCTTCCCCCAACAGCCGCAGCCGCAAATGCCACTTTCTCTTCTTCCTCCGGAAATTTTGGTCTTTCTCCCTTCCTCTCCTCTTCTAGAAGCATATTACGTGCTTTTTCAGCAGTCATATCCGGTATAACGTCCCAAATCTTAGTCAAGTATTGGAGATGTTCGGGGAGCGACATGGAGAGACAAAGAATAGTCTGCTTATCAGGGGTAAGGATGACGTTCGTAGCGGCAATTCGTTCTTCGAGTAGCTTGATATGGGTAAGGTATTCGGACATCGTTTCGAAGCTGGTGTACTTCAGAGTGTAGAATTCTTTGGTAAGTCGCATGAATTCGCCGTCACCCGTGGGTCGGTAGAGTGTGATTAATCGAGATAGCATCAGAAAACCACAGTTGAATTCGTCAATGGTAAGCCGTTGCTTGACAGGGCCGCTAACGGTAGGTGTCATGACGTCGGCAGCTTCTGTAGAGGATTCTTTCCACTTGGCTAGGGCTGCCACGGTTAGTGACTCGGGGGGGGTCTCTTGAGTATACTTCCATAGCTTCTGTTTACGTAGCAGGGCACGTATATCCACAAGCCATTCGGAATAGTTGCCCTCATGTAGTTGGCGAATAGGTGACTTGAAGGATAGGTCGAGAATAGCGCGTTGAGACATGGTGGTAGCGAGGTACGGTAGTAGGCGATGTGGTAGTAAGACAATATGGTAGCAGCGAGGTATGATAGCAGCGTCAGAACCGGGCTCATAACCTGTTAGAATTTCAGGTATGTGATGTGCAGAACAGACGGATTGATTCTCCAAAACCTCTCCGGGGCCAGGTCCTAAATACAGTACAAAATCAGGTGGCTGGAAAACATGGTGGCTGGGATGCGCGGAGGCCGAAAACATGGTGGCTGGGATGCGCGGGGGCCACATTTCAACAAATACTACTTATAAGATCTCTTTATAATAATTCTATTATAATATAAACTCGATAATTCTCTAAATTTATAAAATAATTATAAATTAAGATATATAGATAATTTCTTTTTTATTAAATAGAAATACTTTAAGTATAATATAAATAGCTTATCGCGCTAATAATAATATTAAAATATTATAACTTTTTTTAATATAATATTTCTTTTTTTATATATTAAAACTTTTCGCGTTAAATATATTTTTCCTTAATAATTTTTTTAATAAGTTAAAGTATTTTAAGTTATAGAATAAAAAGATTATCGCGTTAATAATAATTTTAAAATATCGCGACTTTTTTTAATATAGTATTCTTTTTTTAATTATTAAAACTTTTCGCGCTAGATATATTTTTTCTTTTTTTATCTATAAATAATTTAATTCTTTACTCGCACTTTATATATATTTCTTAATTAATATTTATTATTCTTTATTTAGATTATTTAATAATCTTATTTATATCCTTTAGACTTAATATTATACTCTCTCTTTATTAAATAGTATATAATATAAATAAATTATTATCGAAGACTTCTATCTTTATTTAATTTAAATTCGCTTAAAAAAAATATTAGCTCTATAAAGAATATTAGCTTTATTATTAACTTTAATTTATTCGCGATCTAGTAAGATTATAAATAGTATTATATTAATAAATAAAATTAACTTCTACGCGAAATATATAGTTATCGAATTAATATCTAGAATTAAATATAAGCGAATTTTAATAATAATTAAATTATTATAGCTAACGCTATTTAAAACGCGATCTTTTATTTTAATAATTAACTCTTTTTTCTTAATAATTATAAAGATATTAATAAAATTATACTTTAGAATATCGTATTATAAAAAATACGAAATAATTTTAAGATAGTTATTACTATAGCTTTATCTAATATTACCTCTATTCTTCTTTAAAATAATATTATTACTTATTCTTACTTTAAGATTTCTCTTAATACTATTATTTAGTCTAATTATAATATATTAATAAAGTCTAATTTAGCTTAATTATTAAAGGCGATTAAGCTTATTTTCTAAAATAAGATCTCTATATAAAATCGCTACGATATCGAGATTATTAATTATATACTTTAAGATATTTAAAAGAATTTTACTTCTTTTAATAATATAGTTATATACTTCTATAATAACTTTTATTAAATTTTTTTAATTATTAAGAATATTAAATTAGATTATATTATTTAAATTACGTTAAAAACGTTTTATTTTCAAAACTATATTTAAATTCTTAGATTAATAGAAAATATAAGACTTTAAAACTTTAATTTAACTAATTAAAGTCGAATTAATATAAAGAAATTCGCTTAAAGATTATTAGATATAAGTAATAATATCTTAATAAGCTTTAAAGAATAAGAAGTTATTAATTAGTCTATCGAGTAATTATTAAACGACTTTATTATTTAATTAATTAATATTATTTATAATAATCTTAACTTATATCGAATAGCTAATTTCTATATATTTAAAATAATTCTTTATATTCTTAATAAGAATATCGCTCGATTTAATAGTTAAGTTTTTAATAAGTTCTCTAAGATTAAGATCGTTTATAATAGTAGAAATTAAGTCGTTAATAAGAAAGATAGCTTTCTTCTATTTACTAAAATAATAAACATCTTCGAATTAATCTCGCTTTTATCTTATTATTTAAAGTTAAAATAGAATTATATAATAATACTATTAAGAAATTTAAAGTAATATATAAATTTATATAATAGAATATATTTATAAGTTAAGTATATTGAGTTTAAGATATTTAATTATTATATTCTTAAAAGCGAATATAATAATATTATATATTATATATTACGTATTTCTCTAGCTTCGCCTAATTTAAACGATTTATATACTTTCTTTTAATATATTTAATTCTTAATTTAATTAGCTTTCAGTATAATAATTAATAAATTCTAAAGTTAATTATTATAGTAGATTAATTTATATCTATATTTCGAGATCTTTATCTATAATTAATTATATATAATCTTAAGTTAAGTTATTAGTAAAATTAATCTATTAATTATAATTTTAGACGATCTACTAAGAAGATAATCTATTTAATTAACGAGATATATTAAAAATAAGATTATTAAATAGATACTACTTTTTTAAATAAGAATATAATTAATTAGCGATCTATAGTAATAAAAGTAGATTATTTATTATATAGAAAGTAAGTAAAGTTCGATTTAATTTAGAATTAGAGCTTTTATCTTCTTTATTAATTTCGTAGTAATAAAAATAGATTAAAAACGTATAGTAAGCGATTAGAGTTTGATTTGACTTAGGGCTAGGGCTAAAATTTCATTTAACTTAGAAAAATTTAACTTTATTTAACTTAGAAAAATGAAAAATCTAACTCTATGAATTTAATTTATAAGTCTTTACATATAATTATTATTATAATATAAAGATATCGATAAATCTTTTAATCTCTTATACTTATATCTTATTTTTTAATATTATTAAAAAAAAATTTAAAAAAAATTTAACTTTTTTAAAATTACTTTATTTACTTATTAATAATTTTTAATTAATAATTTTTTATTATATTTTACTTTTTTTTCTTTATATTATATATAAATATTAATTATTAAAATTTAAAGATATTAAAAGAATTAAAATAATTATTAAAATTTATTATAAGTATATTAATTATATATAATATATTTAATAATCTTTTCTTTTATTTTTAATAGAATATAAATAATAAGATAATTAAAAGAAGATTAAAGAAGAAGATTATATTAATATTATAGTAATTAAAAAAATATTAAAAAATAATTATAATTAATACTATCCTTCGCTAGCTCAGATATTAATTTTTATTTTATCGTTATCTTACTCGTAAGAGCTTTACTCTGATACTTTAATAATTAAATAATTAACTCTTATGATAGCTAATAGCGATGCATCCCCCTTCTCCAATCTAGGCAGTACCTCGCATCCTTCGTTGATACTGATCATACCATTCATATTTCTGCTATGGCTGGCAACCCTCTTGGCGCGACGGGCTATGGGCTACGTGCGGTCCTCGAGCGGAAAATTCCCAAGGCAAAGCATCACCCACCTGTTGCCGTCTTCCTGCCGGCGTAACTATCACCGGTCCAACGTCTCGCCTGCTGAAGGACGGATCAGCGTTCGCCGATAGCAGACGTTGAATCACGTACGGCCCGCCAACGCTACCAAGGCTGGCCTCCAGATCTGGTTTCCAAGCCCCCTTCGATGCAGGATGGCGCGGAGCGGAAGAAGGAGCAGCCGATCGTCGGCTTGTAGCAGCATTGGCTCGGGTGCGAAAACGGTGAGCGAGCCTCGAAGACGCTTGGGGTTTTCTTGAGATCGGAGAGCGTTGAGCGTGGGTTGGGGTTTCGCCTTCTGCGAGGATGGATTTCGGAAAGACGGGCGAAGCGGGTGGAGGAGGGCGGTGGAAGTTGACTGGGTCTTCGGAACGACGAGCTTTGGCGTAGGGAGGGGTTTGCAACGTTGTATGACGGCACGTTTGAAAGGTAGTGATATGTTGGAGTAGGAGATTTCCTTTTACGGCGGTAATAAAGCTTCACAGGCGGTTGTTGAGATTGGGTCGCCGGTCGGAACCGAGGAAGATGAGTTGTGCTCGATCAATATTGGAGTGAAGAGCCGATTGTTGTTCTGGCTCAGACGTGCAATTTCGCAATGTTTTCTATTATTGTATCTGTTGATCGAGTCTTGCTCTCAACTCCTATCAAAGCTGCGTCTGTTCCTCTTGCTTCCCAGTCCTCATCTGCGACCGCTTCCTCTTATACTCCGCCAGCCTCTCCTTCGCAAATTGCACCGCATCATGCCCGGCCAAGAACTGCATGTACTCCGCCCTCCCCTCACCCCCAGTCCCCTCCGCAGTTTGCCTCGCCCTCTCCCTCACCCTCGCCACTCTCGGCTTTCTCACGTCCTCACACAACTTCAACAGTCCCGGAATCTCCTTCCTCTCCACGTCCCTCTCGAGAAACTCAGAAAGCGTGATGGCGTCTTCAATCGCCATCGACGCGCCCGAGAAACTATGCGGCAGGACCGGGTGACACGCATCCCCCAGCAACGCGGTATAATTCCTGCTGCACCGCGGAAGCTCATCCATATCCATCAGCTGCCAGATGCGGAACCCTTCCGGGTCTGCCAGTTCCAGCAACCGGATAGCGCGCGGGTCCCATCCCTTGTGGACGTCGCGAACGGTCTCAAAAGAAACTTTGTGGTTGTACGAGGTCGCAGTCGCATTGTCTTGCTCTTTGTCGGCTTCCTTATCGGATAAATGGGCCGGGTGGTTTATAGTCACGTTGAAGAGCTTGCCGTGGTCCACGGGGTAGACGATGTTGATGATGGAGCCTTCGATCCAGGAGAACATGGTCAGTTCGTCACTGACCAAGGAGGACATGGTTGGGTCGTTCTGGACAACAGATCTGGGGAGCATGAAGCGGATTGCATTTTGATTGGCGGTGCGTTTCGGGAAGTGTTTGGTGCAATCGATGATGGCCGGACGAATCGCGGAGTGGACGCCGTCTGCGCCGATGATGAGATCTGCGGAGACCGTCGCCCCGCTATCGAGCGTGAGACTTGTGTTGTCGACATCCACCGAGGTGACTTTGACGCCGGTTTCGATTTGGACGCCGCTTGAGAGCGCAGCGTCCATCAATTGTTTCACGAGCTGGGGACGATAAGCGAAGACCGAAGTGGCCTTCTTCGCCATCTCCGGATCTGTATTCTCGTTCGCCTCTCTGAGCAGCTCGCCGTGTGAGTTGAATATGCGGGCCCTGTTGGCCGCCACGGCGCCACCACCGACGGTGTCGATGCCGAGGTGCTTCGGACAGCGATCGGAGTTTGGCGTGAGCCTGAAAGCGTAGCCGACTTCTTGGCCGGTCGTTGAGCGCTCGTAGATGGTGACGCGGTGGCCGTTGCCTGCGAGGCCGATGGCTGCGGCGGGGCCGGCGGTGCCTGCGCCGACGATGACGATGTTGAGGGGGGCCATTTTCTCTGTCTTCGTTGAATGGGGGTCGGCAGAAAATAGTATGGTATGATGTGAAAGGAGAAAGTTGGTGGATTGGAGTTTCAATCAGGAGTGTCTAGGAGCGTTTCCTATGTACTTTATAGGTAAGGTAGGAGTTGCCAAGACTCGTGGTGTAGAGGTCGGCACCAAAAGTCCTGGACAGTGGACAGCGCTAGCACCAGCCATAGTTCTGCCGTCGGACAGCAAGCCTGTAAGATTAGTGGTAGATGCTAGTTTATGATTATCTTCTGAGGGCGCATGAAATGAGCTTTGGTGGACTTCGGACTTTGGTTTGCGGGTAGGATAGGGGCATTGAGTCCTTGATACAGGAGTCTTGGCGTCCAGGACTTTTGCTTTTTCGACCTCCGTAGTCCGTACCTTACATTAATATCTTAGTCCGTATCGTACTTGTTTATCTCGCAGCTTGGCACCCTGAACGGGTATAGCGGCCTCGGAAAGTATCTTCATTAGCCCCGGACAAATTGGAAAATGTCGACCGCATGAGGATTCACAATAACCTCCCAAAGTTTTGCAAAGTCTCTATACACCTTTCTCCATCCGACATCTCTATGGTTATCTACATCCCTATCAGTCCCAGGAAAAAGCAAAAGTAGTTGACGCAGCGTGCACCCCGACCGGCAACTGACTTCACATAGGCATTAGCCGTTTGGAGCACGAAGAAGGTTGCAGAGATTACGAGAGTAAAGGGAATTCGTGCAATCGATTAGCCGTTAGTGATGCCTGGAATTCCCGGCAGGTCCAAAGGCTGCACCACCTGCAGGAGGCGCAAAGTTCTCGTTAGTAACCAGAAACTCTTTGCCAAATATTGATGACTAAAGTATAAGTCAGTGTGATCAAGAGGTGCCGTCTTGCGCTCGGTGTACCAAGGGCGGAAGAACATGCGAGGGATACGAACGCTACCCGGTCTTCCTCAACCGCACTGCACGAGGCCCTGAAAAGCGGCATAGGCTAGATGAAGCGAAATATATTACCTTTCCAAGTTCGGAGCAAACTGTTGTCTCCGTCAACGATTGGAGGCTGATCCCCGCAGCCTTAGCAAATTCAGAAGACAATCGCATGCTTTTCCAACTCTCTGCTACGCCAGCCTTTGAGAGCCAAATCGTAGCCCTCTTTTTCCAGAGATACTTGCCAGCGGACGATTGTGTTCAAGTTGGCTACGCAAAGAGTGGTTGGCTTCAGCAAGCAATAGGCCTCCAGAACCCTGGAGAGGCACTGCACCTATCCCTCAAAGCCATATCTATGACCACAATAGGACGCTTGTGTAAGGATGACAGACTGGCTTTTCAAGGTGCAAATTGCTATGGGAGTGCTTTACAACAACTTCGAAAAGCTCTCCAATCTGAAGTTACAGTATGGCACGATGAGACACTTGCAGCCAGCTTCGTCTTGGCACTTTATGAGGCGAGTTTATTTCAAACCTGCTCTTCCTCTTCCAGATAATAGCGTGATTTTCTTGCTGACCTCTAAAAGCTCTTCGGAACAGAGTCAGCCCTAGCTTCAATGCAGGCATGGGATAGACACATGTCTGGTTTAGAAAAGCTGATCTCTATGCGGGGACCTCAACCTTCGCATTTCCCCTTTGGGCAGGAGATGTTGGAAGACATTCGCTCTTCAATGGTAAATGCAAATGTCATTTCCATTCTAATAGGCCAGGATTGACTAGCTTTCACAGATGCTATCATGCCTAGAATACCGCAGGACGTCAGTCCTTGCAGATGGGAGATGGCTAGTCCGACCCTGGGACGAGACTTCAAATAGTACACATTCTCGATTATTCGACGAAGGCTTTGCTTTGGCGAGACTATTGCAAGAATTTGATGACGCAAACCTTGCTAGCGTCGGTACCAGCATCTCGACACTGTCACATTGCCTACAACTCGCCCTCGATATGCATACCGAACTAGAAAAATGGTATGATGAATTCCTTACCAGTTCACCATCGCCTTCGTATTGGCCGACACCACCATCTACCTTTACCATAGCTCAACGAGAATTCGCGGACTCGGGCCCAGGAGGGCTTCCGTTGCTTTGTTATCCAAACCTCATGGTGGCAAGCAATACCGTCACTCTCTGGGCCCTGAAGCTTGTTCTCAGCAGTGAGATCGCTACTATATGCCAAATCATCTTATTAACCAATCGCAAAGCTCGTGCCGACTCTACCGCTACAGATCCTACTGCGTCTCTCATGCTGACCTCAATGGCCCAACGCACAGAGGACCAACACAGCGAAGAACAACGTATGACTCTAGCAATCGATATCGCACGCTCGTTGCCTTACTGCCTCAACCGAACCACGGGCCTGCTAGGCCCCAGGAGAGCCTTCTTCGCTTTACGCACAGCAATGGCTACGATTCGACGCAGTCCGGGCCCAGAAATGGAGTGGGGCCGGGCAGCTATTGCGAGGATGGAAACCAAGTCAACCCTCCTGGAGCGATGCAGCTCCATCCATACTTCCCTGGGTCTTGCGGATATGAGGGACTCGTAACTCACCAACCTGCCACACTAATGGTACGACCCCGTCCACGGCCGAGTCTTGGATTGAGAACCGTGAAGCCCAGCCAATAAAGGCTTACCTTTCCACGAAGATTTAGACCTCTTCGTGAGTAGCCATCCTCCTCAGTAGCGTCGTAACAGCGGATCTCCCCTTCGGTTGTACCTTCCCGAGCTGTGCCGGGCTAGGAGCATCCATTACTGTTGCAACTTCAGTCGCATACCTCACGCACCCCGTGCTTTCGGCGCTAAAAGCACTGGCAATGCCTGGATCTTAAGAATTGATTGATTAGTTCTCAAACCCGCAACTGGCTGTAATCCTCTGTGGCCACCATTATCACCGAAGCCTGCTAGGCAGGGTTTAATATGCGACGTGGCTTGGACATATATTTTAGAGATAAGGCGGAAACACCAGAAGCAGGAGTGCAGGAGGCTGAGGCGCCAAATGACCTTCCACCACGTAGAGATATACTCAGGGCAAGCATGGGACATTGGTAACAATTCAATAGCTCCCAACGGCCGTGCGCGGGGATAGCGACCGTACCAACAGGCAACGCTGGCCCGAAGGGATTACGAGGATGCAGCAAAAGATCGATTTTCATATTTTGACGTAGTATATACTTATTTCTTCAAGCTATGGTTATGATTGGATTAGGACGCTTCGTGAAAAGTTTGGTGACGAGCTTACTCAGCAAGAGACAAGAGATATATTCCCATCTTTAAATGCACCACTCTGCTTTAAAAACAGCCAATCCATTGACTTACCGTACAGTATGCACCCTATGCCTGTAGTCTCCCTTTTCAATTATCGCTGAGTTCTCGTTACATTGTCGTGCCGTTAATGTCCGCACAGGACCTAATGCTAGCCGGGGAAATAGGGAGCATTAATCGCTTTATGACTGCGCTTATGAGGGAACAAAGCTTCCCAGCTACCTGCTGTGTCTGAACTACGTGAACAGCTACTACGTTGACAGGTGAATCCTTCTTCAATCCTCTCCTATTACGTCCAGAGAGTGATTGACTGGCTAACTCATATAGGATCAATCCACAACATGCCCGTGCTGAACTCTGCAGAGGCAGCAATCGCAAATGATGTTGGAAGGCTGGAAGAAGAGATTGAGAACCTTGTGAGACTCCTGTGATTTGCCTACTTGTGCTGGAAAGAAACGGCTACTGGATGTAAAGACTGAAATTGATGCCGCCATCGGGTTCGTCGAGAGCTGGTTATAAAGAGAATACGTCACGCCACTCGGGGTGGTTGCCGTCCTTGTCCGGCAACATCTGAATCAATTGGCAGGACTTGTTAAGAACATCGGTGATGGGACCCACGAGACACATGAACCAGCACCGAAGAGGTGTGCTGGCAAAGAGATTCACAAAGAGTACTTGCTTTTTGTTTTGGTGCAGGGACGAATATGTTCGATTGATAGGAGGCTGGATGCACGACTATTTCATCAGGGAAGAGCTGCACGCACCACGCCGTCAGCTCGAGAGCCAACAACTCCCGAACTCTAAGCTCTTGGGTCGCTTTCTGCTATGCCGTTTTTTCCTCAACGAGGAGCCGCAGGCAACCTCGCCGTCAGCTCCGGAAGCCACCCCTCACTCCCAATTCCGCATCCTTGACCGCGTGTTACCGTACCATTTCCGCCGTAACCGTCATTTTCGATGTGACCTGGCTGGCTGTCCTCAGATACACGAGCAATCAGGGTATCGCGAGACGGTGTTCTCATGCTTCAATGGCCGCCCCAATTTCGTCATGATCGACGCACGTGCTCATGGTACCGTGATGAAACTCCTGGGCGGCATTGAAGTGTTGTGAAGAAAGGTAAATGCTTCAAGGAGGACAGCCTCCTGCGAAGAATCGAGAGGGAAGCGTCTCGGCGCTTCCGCTAGCGCGTGAAGGGTATGGAAGCCGTTGGGAAGGGTTTGAGATAGGAGCCCGGCTAGGCCCAAAGGTTCGTTGCTCGGAGCAGTATGCCCCTTGGCAGGATAATGGTGACAGTCGTGTTCGTTGACAGATCGTGCGCTGGAACTTCTATCTCAGATCTGTCAACCTTGTACCAACAGCGAGAACACCCTTGGCTTGCCGAGAATAATTGGTAGACGACGCCTTTCACCGCCCGGAGTTGCGATGACAGTTCCTCCATTACTGTTGATCGTCGTGTCTCCATGGAAGTTGATAATCTTGTGTGTGACTTTGCCACGCTAGCACGTCGACTCTGATCTCTGCTTCAACGGCAAGTACCTGGGTGCAATGGTAATAGGCGTATGACATACACCAGCGTTCAGACCGCTGTGTCTGGCCAAATTTGTTGTGGATAACAGACTCGTGAGGCGATAGAACAACTTCTCGCTGTCGCTGTATTGTTCTAGCGACCCTTGCTCGCATCGATCATGCAGTGCCGTCATTGATGTGTCGGGCACACGTATGTTACCTGTCACAATTCCTTCTAAAGCGCACCTTTTGAATCTCGGCTAAGATCAATACTCAATTCGCCCACAGCGCGTACAAGCGTAAGTGGTTATGGAGGCCTAGAGTACCTCCACCGTCGGTGATATCAAACATCTCCGTGGTATGGTATGTGGTGGTCATTCTTTGCTTCGGTTAGCGATGCGACGAGAGACGAAAAAGAAGAAGAAGAAAACCTGAGGTCTGATTTTCGTTGAGAAATTCGACCCCGCTTCCTTGTGTCTCGTCGCCGGGCATTCGATACTCCGGTCGAGAGCGCGTCTATCCATTTTGGGATCGAATGACGCATTGATTCCTTCAGGACGTCCAACTTCTGGTTGCAATGACTTCTTTGACTTCTGGGCACTCAGACCCATTCGCAGCGACAACAGAACTATCGAACGATATATCGTCCTAGGAGAGGATTTACCAGCTCTCCGTCGTTTCTTCTTGTTGTTGGTGATCGATGGGCGATCTCTGTTGCTTTTTGGGTTCGCTCGGGCATGGCATGTGAGATCTAGTGACTTTTGGACAGAGACTTTCTCACCTCCATAGGAGAACTAACTATTCCTGTCGTGAACTCGCAAGTAGAGTACTTTCGCCCTATGGGTAAGATGTACTGTAGCAGCGGACTTCTGACCATTTCAAACCCGACCAGGCTTTGGGTCAGCAAGGCGAGGATTATAAGGGCGCATCTCGCAATCTACAAGAGCACCACTTCTCCAGCCCCTTGACACTCTAAACAAGCTCCCATCTTCCACCAACACTCAAGTCTTGAGATAATATACTTAGAAGTGAGACCTTGACATCCAACGCTCGGAGAACCTTGGGAAAGTTCATGGTCACCTGAGCACCCCGACGAAGATGATTGTCCAACAACCGAGGCTCAATGTCACCTCAGGCGGAACATGTCTCCCGCCGGGTGCATGTACGTGAACTCTACGCCTATTCGATAACACAGAAGTCTAGGCTGCAACATGTGTGTTTCAACTTTGTCTTTGTCCCTCAGACATCACTGTTTCGGTGTTCACAACTTTAAGCTGCGAGCGAGCACACCGAATCGGCTGTCCCGACTGAGTTTGCCGTGTACTACCCTAACCACGTTATGGAAGAAGACCGCAAGAGAGATGATCCCATGGATCTCGACAAGCCTGAGGACGCACCACCCGCTTACACTGCTCTCGGCAGCCCTTCAGGGCTTACGGATTGGACGGAGAAAGAGGACAAAGTGAAGACTGACCATGACGAGGCCGAAGAAGAAGAAGAAGAAGAAAAAACCAAAGAAGAGAAAGGAGCCCGCCGCAAAACCAAAGGGAAAGCCAAAGCCTCCCCACCACCACCAGACGACAACGATGACAACAACAACAACAAAGACCAACCCCCCCGCGTCGCCAGACCCACCCCCAACCCATCTCCCCCAAGAACAGCATTGAACTCCGACACCCACACGGACATGGACACCTACCGGGCCCTCGAAGCCCACAAAGCCCTCGAACCCGCCCACGTCCGCGGGACGCACTTCGCCGACGCCGACGCCACCATGAACGACACCCTCTCCTCAGCCCCCCCCTCCCCCAACACCGAAAACACCGCCCCAGGACCCCGCAACGGTCCGACCGGGTCGTTCGACTCGGCGGAGTTGAGGGGCAAGTTGGAAACCCTGCGGCAGCGGCAGCAGCAGCGAGGGGATGGCGGTCGGGGGCAGGGAGAGGGGTGGGGGTTTGCGTGGCAGGAGACGATGACGCGGGAGAAGGTGGAGAAGGAGGGGTGGGGGGGTGATGACGACGATGATGCGTTCCCGTCACCGTCGGCGCAGGCGGTGCGGGAGGAGGCCGGGTGGGAGGTTTACGACGAAGCTGCGTGGGAGACGGCCGCTGGGCGGGCGGCGAAGCAGGAGAGGCGGGTGGTGGCGTTGAAGGTGCCGCGGGCGTCGTTTTCGGTCCGGGGAGAGTCGGGGACGGCGGGGCGGCGTGGGGAGTTGGTCAGGGCGGTGAGGGGGTACGAGGCGATTCTTTCCGGGACGTTTTTGACTTATCAGAGGGATGATGTGATGAGGGTGGTGCATCGGGATGGTGACGGTGGGTGCAATCTTTGTGAGTGGGTGGGTCTGTCTCAGGTCGTGCTTACGGTTTGACAGGCAAAGTGTTCACACTTCTCCCTCTCAAAGCCGGCGCAGTAGCCGCCCGGGCGCATACTCAGGACTTTGTGCCTGCGAGTTCGGCGGCCGGGAGTGAGGCTAGCGATGAAGGTAGCTGGGAGCGACTTGAGAGGAAGGGCGGATAGGGAGTCGTGCGACAAGGCCTCGATGCAACTATAGTAGTGGTTGTTGGGAGACAGAGCTTGTCACGGCATACGCTCGCGAAGACAATGAGATGTGGTCTTGGTCGGTATGGTCTTGTCACGAGTTCATGGCTGAAAGAAGATCGGACCTTTTTTAACAGAACAAAGGGTGCTTGTGCGTTACTCAAAAATAACATCAATAAGATAAAGCGCGAAAGGAGTTGGGCTTGTTTTTCCAAGGACCAGAACAACGTCCACTGAGATGCTGTCAAAAGAGGCGAGCGACGGACGACAAAGCGACCATTTTCTCCATGGCCGTCAATGGACTTCGACAGTCAGTCTCTATCAGATGCACCAGCCTGTCCATAACTCGCAAAAACCTGCCACACCCACACCTTCGGTTCCCCCCAAACTCCCATCTGACAGCTTATCAAAATCCATCATCCAACATGACTAACCCCTACGCTAACATAGAGTACGTAATGGCCAACGTCGTCCCCATCCAGAACAGCATAATGTCAAACATCAACCGCGGCGACCTAACCGCCATGTACGACGCCGGCATCCCCACCCCCATCAGCGCCACCGTCCAGAGACGGAACCTCCAAAGAGCCCGATGCAGCGAAGATCTCCTGCCGCCGATGACCAGTGCACGCACATGCCCCAACACCTCCCTCGACCCTCTCCGAATGAACGAGTGCGAGGGCTACTGGCGCGACCATCCCCCTCGACCGGAGGGACTACTACCTCCCCTGCGTCAACCCGATGGGTATTGGCCTCCACTCACCCTCTGCGATCCGCACGACGGGCCCCACCACGTGTGCGAAGAATGCAGGGACGATTACCGCATCCAGGAATGCCGGGACGAGACGAGCCGGATCGCGTCGGCCGCGGCCGTGTTGTGCAAGACGCACAGTCTGGCGTTCTTCCGTGACGCGGCGGCGCGGAAGGGTTGCGAGTGCTATGAGAGGCTCGATGGGGGATGGTCGTGTGTGGGTTGTCGGCGGGAGACGTTGATGACTTTACATTGCAGGGCTGTGCCGTGGAAGAATGATTTGTTCTTCACTCATGTCAGCAGGGTGAATGGGCGGAGGGTGTATGTGGATTATTTTCGGAAGGCGAGGCAGGACCCCGCGTGTCCGATCCCGGAGTGTGGGGGGAAACCGTGGATGAGTTATACCGCTGCCGAGGTGATGGAGATGTGTTTGGGTTGTTGTGCTGTTCAACACTGCCTGACGCTGCCTCTGTGAATGATGTATGGTGGTATGCGGATGCAGGGACACTGTAAGTTCAGATCGACTCTTCTTCATTTATTTTTGGGAAGCTGTTGGCCCATTGGCTGTTTTTGGAAAGATTTTCGCTTTCGCTTTCGTTTGAGCTTGGTCAAAGGTTTGGTAATTGGACCATTTCCACAAGGGCAAATTTCGATAATGTTTCAAGCGGCCAGTCGTGCACCTAAGAGAGACCCGATGCTTTGTGTATCCACGCTCACTGTTGCACGGCGTTCAATGGGACAGTACTCTTCCATCTGTCCTTTCAAGTCTGTATGAAGCCTCGAATTAGCTACGTTCCTAGAAGTTTCACTCCTAGTTGAGCAGATTTCCTTTCTTTCCCCCTTCCCTGCTAGATTTTAAAACCTTTCAACTCCACTCAAAGGTATGCAACCCTGCCACTCCTGTCCTCATAGCTGGCTAGATACCTCGTCTTCAGGTATCTGTGCGGCAGGGCGGCTCGAACACTGGACAAGCTCCAATATCTCGCTGCAATCCATCCGAGACACACGTTGTTCTAGATTCCAATTTAGATCTTGGATAGTCCACAACCACAGCCGCCAAGGTTCGTCCAAGTGTGTAACGGAAGACGAATGAAGTATCTCGCCGTGCAGCTAGATACAGGTAAGCACTCCCTTGCTGACGCTAAATGCTTCTCTGCCAGATACAGGCGGCGACGAAAAAGAATTCAACAGAAATACAATGCGAATCAAAGTGAAAGAACCAACCCCTAAGAATGTTTCACGATGCGAGATACGTACGTAAAATGATAGATGTGCGATTCATTCATATACATACAAAATATTACAAGGTGCACTCAATTTGTCGGTGGCAGTTGCCTCCAGCGAAGTGCATATTGGATGACTGAAGCGACCAATGAAAACGATCCGCGCTGGAGAGACGCTAACCCGCTTACAGGAAGGATATGTTCGAATATCTTGCTGTTCAGCTCAATCCTTCGAAAAAAGAGAGTAAAAAAGTGTAATGAGATAATGTCACCCATACCTCGTCATCGCTTGGAGCACATAATGAGCACGGACCAGATGTTGGGATGTTGATCTCTTCATTTCCTTGGAGATTACAGAAGATGGTCGATAGTGTCCGCGTGGCAGTCGAGATCTGATGCAACCCAGAATCTTCTCCAGAAACATGTCAGTACCACGGTCAACAAGGGACTTTCGAGGACAAAGCAAATCCTGAAGCGCCAATTCTATTGAGAAGTCTTAATCAACCTTACCCTATATGAGCGAAGCGAGTATTTTAGATACGATGATCATTGCTGTTCAAACCCTGCAACGACCTTTGTACGATTCCCTCACTCCGAATACAAAAGCCTCTCCCTTTCCCTCTCTTCCTCTTCATCCTCAATAGTCACTCCTGCAGAAACGACCCAGCGCTCTCAGCCCAGTCTTTACCTAACCCTCCCGGCCCTCCGTCGACCCCTTGCCACAGACAGTCTTTACCTACCTTCCTACCTACCAACAACCGTCCCTCCCTTCCTTCCATCCACCATGTTCTCCATCACCCGCCTCACCCTCACTTCCACCCTCCTAGCCACCACCACCTTCGCCCTCGCCACCCCCATGCCAGCCGCGAACCCACTAGCATTGGATGTCGCTTGCACGATCGATCGGAGGCTTTGGAGAAGTCTTGTCAGGGTGTGACAGACCATTCATGTGACGGATCTTTTGCGAAGGGTGTGAAGTGGTTGCCATTAGCTGTACATAATCCACCCCGTCCGTCTCCGAGTCGGTAGATTTAGCGTTTTGGCCAGGACTTAGACCTTGTGGAAGAAGTTTAATCATTCGCCAGTAATTTTCTCTCGAGACATCTTGCGCGGCGGAAGTTCCACAAATCAGACGAGAAAGAGCAGGAAGCCGTTGGGGCCTCTCAGGCTCGGGGGGACGAGGCGGGATTCGGTCTCGGATCAGGCCCCGGGAGCGGCACCTTCCCTTCCATCGCGGACCGAAATATAGCGGCGGTTTTACCTACATCCCTAAGGTAAGAACCTTTTCCTTCCCTTTTGCATTCTCCAACCATCTCTCTTCTCCTCCGAACCCAGAAATACCATCATGTGCGCTATTGCATGGTATGGACCCCCCTCCAAACCCGGTTTTGCCCGATCGATTTCCATCAGGACTCCCAGTCCCGTTCACAAAGCGCACACCCAAGATCCATTAAACAGACATACTTGATTACATATACCTGTTTCCCCAGTTTGAATACTGTCCGACAAACCTTTTTTCAACCCTACCCGAATTCTCCAAAACCCAGTCGATTCCCTACGCAGTTAGCCCATGGCCCATCTGTGTGTCGAAGCAGTCACGCTCTGGCGGTGCAACCTGGAAACCCTACATTCCCAGCATCTCGCCCCCCTCTTCCAGCAACACCGAATCTATTCCGATAACGTCCAGCCGCCATAAGCAACCGTAGAGGTGCGAGACGGCGCCCGGCTTGCGAAACCGGTTGCAATGGTACCATGCCGTCATTGTTGGCCCGGGACAGCATCTGTGACCCTGCTTCCCACGGCACTTGGCTGTGGAGGTCAAACAAAGCTCTTGTGCGCTGTGGAAGCTGTAAGGTTGTCTTCAAGTGGTTTCAATCCTATGGCGAGCGCAGCCTCGAGGCAATTGCGGTTGGGCAGGCATGCGTCCAGAGACAGTGGTGGTCGATTATCTACGGTATCAGACACGCTTTTCTTGGCGTCTACGGCGAATCCTACACCATAGTGCTTCGATTCGGCAACTCGCAGTCTCTACGGTGGCGTCTGTGGGAAACGTGTGACCCTTGGACGACTCGACCATGACCTGGAGGCCGAATATAACATCGGTCGTAATAGGTGTGCTCTGCCTTCAGCAACCAGTGTTCATGTCCGAGTTCAAGGACGATTGTATCGTCCCTCCGGGGCTGTCGAGACGCCGTACGTTCTGTAAGGAATTCGATGCGATTTCCGTCTGAAGTTCCACGCTGAGCGGTGGAGTAGTCCGTCGCCTTTTCGAAGCTTGGAATTTTTGTCGATTGTTTATCAACACCCGTCCGAACCTGAAAACCAAGGATCGCCCGCCATGGCGTCTGGAGCCCGTGTCCGGATTTGAAGATCGAGATGTCCTGAAGCTGATCTCATCATCGTACGCTAGATCCGGACGATGATCGAATAGTAGACCAGGTCCGCGTGGCTAGCATTATCGATACCCAGCACGGTCGAAAAGGTCCCAACGCCAGAGTTATGGCGTATGTGCCGGTCTGCAGCATCCTGTGAGCCAAGCTGCCGGCAAGAAAGCCATGGAGCATACAGCAGCCCGTTCCCCCGATACCTCCAACTCTGGAAACCATTTCCCTAACAACAATCCGCCAGCCACAACGACAGTCCGCTGCTGACCGTATGTGGCAGCTCACTCGTATGAGAGACCTCGCACCACGAAACTACCCTCCATCGGATCATCTTCGACCCCAGCGCTTTCGCTCAACCTCGTCTTTTCGCCACCCGGGCGGGCTTTCGAAGGCCGGTGGGCCGAGATCTGGGGACGGCACGGGTTGCGGTTCGAAAGCGGTTTCAGGAGCCGATGGGGTAATGCAGCGGCGGGGACGGCGTCTGGTCTGGCGTTCGGGGCAGTTCCGCAGGAGCCGCAACGAGTCCTGCGGATGCGACGGGGGCTGATCGGGTCAGCGATGGGGCAGTTTGTAAATGGGATTCAGGTCCCGACACTGTGTTGGAACGGTGCTGAGAGCGAGTGTTCTCGTTTTCTGCGAATTCAACGGACTGGGAAAGGATTATGATCCAGGTGCGAGCTCGGATCGCCTCTTGAAAAGCGTGGTGGATTTCATCGGGCACCGAAACTTGCCCTTTCTGGACACTACTTCGGCCGTACTCTTCCCGTTCCTACAGTGCCGGTTCGTCTCCGTCGGAAGGGGTGGTTTCAGTCTTGGCGGTCGGGCGGTTGACGGCTTTGCTCGTAGCCGTCGTGTAGAGATCGTGGATGGCGGATGTCTCCTTTGACGGCCTGGCTTCGATGGTCTCCGTTCCCCACGATCTGAGCGCTAACGTCGGTAAGGAAGACGAGGATTTTGATTCCAAGCACTGAGCGTGTGTCGACGCGTCTGCATGGCGAATGGGCTGCATGTTGAGCCCGTCTACGCAGGGAGGGTCATAGGGAAAGCGATATGCAACTCACGGGGACCGCAGTGTGGGCCATAATGTGCATCCAGTCTGGTTCCAAAACACCGCCGAACAGCTCGTCTGAGATCATAGTGACGCAGAGTCACACTGGATTAGAGGGAACGTGTCCTTTCAGGAAAGCGTGTTCCAATCGTTTCTATGCTTCTGCAGCCGAAGAGAATCTATGGACATATCTAAACATTATCGAGACACCAAAATTTCGCCTCTGGATACATCTTTCCAAAACGGATGCCGCTAGAACGCGCCAACGCAACAAGACATGATGACAATTTGACAGATCTAGGTGGTATCATACAACTCCCACCAGATCAACTATTCCAACAGAGAAATGAATATTCGGTTCGGAGAGGAGCAGCTCCTCGATCAGGGCTTACTCAACTGCTCTTTCCTAAAAAACATAAAAAATCCAACCGGCACCGCCAAGTTCATCAGCAGTGCCACCCAAAACCACGCTTTGCCGAGTCCCGGCATCGCGCCGGCCGAAAA